TAACCGAATAAATAATTAAATAATCAAACAAAAAAAATTAAATCAGATAATTTTTAGTTCAAAACCAATCCAATTCATAATAGAAACACCCTTAATTGGTATGGCGTGTAATGTATCGCTAATTGTAAGTATTGATGCTATTCTCTTTATAAATTTAGCTTTAGCCAGCTACCAACTATAAAAGCACTAGCATTTCAAGTGAATAGAAGACAATTAAGAATGGCCGGAAAAGATCACGTAAACAAAGAAAAGCACATAAATCAATTACTAAGAAATTTTTTCAATTTAACTAATGATTTCGAATTCAAGTTCTGAATATACAAACAACTTGTTAAGGAAAACGTTGATACTTTTGTGATCTTATCTGGCTCAAATTTAAAATAATCAACACTATAATCGGATACCAAATGTTTTATGGTTGGTATAAAAAAAAAAACAATTTAATTAATGTTTTATGGTTGATGTTATCTGGCTAAAAAAAAAAGAAAATTTGTATTGATGACAAAAAAATACACGTTTTTCTTTTGTGTAATAAAAAATAGAAAAAATTATTTATCATTTCAAATGACATAATTTATATTATTTTACTCTTATAAAAAGATAAAATTCATAATTTTTTTCTGTGCTCTCTCTCATGATTTATCTTTTTCTCTGACTTAAAATAACATAACTTTATATTCTTTAAAAGTGACACACATTTTTCTCTAAAAATAATATAATCAAGAATTCACTTTTTGGCTCATTAATCAAGGTGTTAAAATGAAAGTGAAAGTATATAAAAGTTGCGATAAATTATCATAATTAGATAATAAAAAGTATACAAATATAAATTAATATTTGTATAATATATAAAATAAATAAATTATCAATATCGTATATATATATATAAATTTATTATTTCTCTTCTCACATGATACAAATTTATTTTTAACAATCTTAAAATTACGTCATTTGAAAATTAAGAGAATAAATGAATAGTATTTTGATAAAATTCTTATAATCAAAAGCAACTAAAACTTTGTTTCCAAAAAAAAAACAACTAAAATTTCTAAAATATTCTTCGTTTATTAGTTTTCTCAATCTCCAAAATAACGTAATTTTGAAATTATTGAAAATAATTCTCAAAAAAACAATTTTCTCGTATAATATTATGGGTTTTGTTATGGACCAAAATTAGGTCCGTGATCAGTAAGGCCCACGATCAGCGCAGGCTCACAGGTAAGCATTATAAATAGGAGCTAAACGCTACAGGTATGACCCAATCTCTTTTTACCTATTTACGCAATCTAGACAGTACACCACACACCTCTTCCAAGGCTAAGGCCATTAGATAATGTGTGATCTGCTGTCCCCAAGATACCTAATTCATAGATATCCAGAGAAGACACCTGAATCATAGATCAATCATCCAATCCCAATTGGACACATCTGCCTAGGGCAGAACAGGTTTAGTATTTGTCATTTTAAATAACATAATTCTGTGACATTTTTAATGAAATTACGTCGTTTTGATGTGTTTGTCATTTTCTCTAATTTATAAAATTAAAAATAAAAAGAAAATGGAAGAGAGAAAATGTAAAAACTTACCAAAACAATGTAGTTTCATTCAAAAATAACATAACATTGTGTGATTTAAAATGAAAAACATTTTTCCCGTATAATATTACATCGTTATCATTATCAGTTGTTACCAACATTTTGATACGAAGTTGCGTAACAATAATAACAATGTAACCCAACCAAACCGATTTTCAGCCATGCTTTCATAGAAAAATCTGGAAGTTAGTTCTCTTTCGCTCCCTTTCTCACTGACACTAACTCTATAAACAGATCATTATATACTTTTTCCAACATATTCTCAGAATCTTCTCTTTTCTCTCTCTTCTATGTAGCAAAAGCTACAAAATTGCATCAAGTGTCTTCGCTTTCTATATCAACGAGTTGCAGAACCAAAGAACCACTAATACCCCATGGTTGTTATAGCCATGTGTGTGCAGGACGCTGATCAAGATGCCCAAGATATGAACAACATGGACAATACAAAAAAGTTATGGCCTTTGCATGGTGAGCTTTTGCTTACCCAGAAAGAGAATTTGGAAAAGGAATCTTCTTTGAGAACTTCAAGTGGCGACAGGATCAGTATTGAAAATTCATTTCCTGTAAGTATTGGGTTCCCTGCTCTTCTATCCTTACATGGTTTTTGTAGAAGCTCTTTAAATAAAACTCAATTATGTTTTTAGTTGGCATGGAAAGTGTTTTCCTCATCTTCTTTAGTTTTTATTTTTTTTCTTGTTCTTTTGTCAAGACATAGATTCTCTTCTAATGATTGTTTTGCATTTGACATTGATTTTCATCCGTGCACAGGGTTGTTGATCCTTCTCATTGTTGCTTTTTTATGTTTAAGACTTCCATTGAGGGTTGTTGAACTTTAATTTGATCTGAAAATCATAATTGAGAACAGAGACAGTTGCTCTTTTCAATTCCAATATTATGTTTAGCTCAACTTTTGTGTTGTTTGGCAGTAGTTTTCAACTCAATCAGATTGCATTGCTGGCAATTAAATTTCCTTCCTTTATTATTGTATTCATCTTTTTATTTGATTGTTATGAGCATAATTTGTGGGTGTTCTCCTTAGTTATACCCTTATGGATATGACATCATGTTGTATCTTGTGTATTATCTGGGAGTCTGTCATTTCTCTCCCTTTTTTTTATTGAGTTTGGTTAGCATCTTTTTAAAGGGGACGAACTGGAACACTAGTAAAACTGTTCTTTCATGATTGAAAAGTCATGAGTTCATTTCCAGAAAACAGCCTCTTTGCAATTATGTTTCTATCCCACGATCGCTAGTCGGGTTTAACGGGGAGTGTTTTTTTTTTTGTTAGCATCTTCTTCTTCACTGCTTAGTACTACTACCATATCAACTCAACTCCCTTTTTCTACTGTGGCACATTTAGCTGGAAAGCATAGGTGAGGATGCAGTGGTTGCAGACAAGAAACAGAACCTGATGAATTATGTCCCTGATCTACGGTCGGGAGAGTGGTCTGATATTGGAGAACGCCCTTACATGGAGGATACTCACATATGCATTGGAGATTTGGCAAAAAAGTTTGATTGTAACATACACTCTGAGGAGGCTGTTTCCTTTTATGGGGTAAGCCATCTATCCCATTATGCTAATTGCCCTTTTGTCATGAATTTTAGTTTAACTCTTCTACAGATATTTTATTTTGTAATAATACATGTCTGCTTTAAACATTCTTGATCCATCACTATAAAAGGATACACATTTTAAAGTCTGACTTGACAAGATGTGAGTAAAATAATGACTCAAGAGGATGCACATCTTTTAATCATTTTGCATAGGATATGTAAAAGGAAAATTGTTTAATGTGAAGGTATTTGATGGACATGGAGGGAAGAGTGCTGCACAATTTGTCCGTGATCATCTGCCAAGAGTTATCGTTGAGGATGTTAACTTTCCTTTGGAACTAGAGAAGGTGGTCAAAAGGTCATTTTTGGAGACTGATGCAGCATTTGCAAAGACATCCTCTTGTGAATGTTCCCTTTCTTCTGGTACAACTGCGCTAACTGCATTTATATTTGGAAGGTGAGCACTTGTTTCCACTGGTCTTTGGTCTTAAGAACCGTGGGATGAATTTTCCCTCCCACATTTGTATGGTGACCTTTCCAAGTGGCACATTGACATTCAAGTGAAATGTGGTGTCTAATATCAACACTATCACTTTACTTTTTTGATTTATTCTTGTGTCTGTGCTCACTTTGTATCCCCTCTCTCCACTAATTGTTCTAAGTTGCAGAAATCTTAAGTCTTAGGGTGTTAGGTAACCAAATAATTATCGGAAATAACTGCTTTTCTTTTTAAAACTTTTTCAAAAAGCTAAAAAATAAAATATCATTATGCCAAAATAAGCTAATCCAAACATGCATATCCTATCCTGTTTAATTGTTTTATTATAGCACCTATTTCAGTGTTGGATGGTTTTTTAATATGGGTAAATTATTTATAAACAAACCTTAAGGCATACGAAATTTCATGTAATGCAATAGATATACATGTTTGTTGCATCATTTTTTCTCATTTAATTGTTGCTCATATAGTATTTCCCTATTCAATCTTTTGTACAGGTCTCTACTTGTAGCCAATGCTGGAGATTGCCGAGCTGTCTTGTCCCGTCATGGAAGGGTTATAGACATGTCCCAAGATCATAAGCCAAACTGCACCAAAGAGAGGATGCGGATTGAGTCCCTTGGTGGATTCATTGATGATGGTTACCTGAATGGCCAGTTAGGTGTCACTCGTGCTCTAGGTGATTGGCACCTTGAAGGAATGAAGGAAATGAGTGAAAGAGGAGGACCACTAAGTGCTGAACCTGAATTTAAATTGATTACATTGACCAAAGAAGATGAATTCTTGATAATTGCTAGTGATGGAATCTGGGATGTTTTTAGTAGCCAAAATGTTGTAGATTTTGCTCGAAGGAGACTTCAAGAGCACAATGATGAGAAAAAATGTTGCAAGGAAATGGTACAGGAAGCAATCAAGAGGGGATCAACAGATAACTTGACAGTTTTGATGGTATGTTTTAACTCAGATCCACCACCACCTGTGGTTGTAAAAAGAACAAGAGTAAGGAGAAACATATCTGCTGAGGGACTTGAGAATCTGAAATGCCTGCTAGAAGGATAGAACATTTTTGTATGTAAAAGAAATGGTGGGGTGATTTTATAGAGCTGTAGTTATGTATAGTTATTCATCCATCACACAGAAAAAACCAAGTGATGATTGGCCTTGACCCTGCATTATGAAGATTGAGAAAGAACTATGCGATGTGACAAAATTCGAATAAATTTACATCGCTATAATTGTTTTTCCCGTTGTGATAGTGCAACTGATTGAAGGAGAAAATTAACATAATCTGGGATAATGTGTATTGTCCATATTATTGAAAAATGTGTGATAAAATAACTTGTACAAACTTGAATTCAAATTAAAATTACAATAATGGATTTATAGTTACAAACCTTAGATGTTTATAACAAAAAAATCTTGGCTTAAATTACAACATCAGATTTACATCAGCAGCCCCTGGAATGAAGCCACTTGGCCTATCAAAGCTTCAATCATAGCCCCCCAATAAAGTGTTCACTGCGGACAAAACAATCGATTAGACCCTGTTGGCCTAAGATGCTACAGCCCAATATTTAAAACACGAGGAATGGAAAAAGATAGTGGACCTTTTTGAAGATGGAAATAATGGAACAAGACAACATAAGTAAAACATACGCCAAACAAATAGGTGACCCTCACCCCAAGTTTTTTTTTTCTTCACAAAAACAAAAAAACAAAAAAACAAAAATGAAATGCATTACCCTATCAAGCGAAAGCCCCCGAACTATTCCCTACAAATTAATAACAATATATCATAAAGATATATTTTCGTCTTACAAAAAAAGAAAATCCTAGCACAGAGAAAACCCTTTTTTCCGTCAAAATGATACCAGAGTAGAAATTGGAATTAACAGCGGAGGAAGCTGACCACCTGAAGATGAGTACAAAGAAATATAAGGGCAGAGATGACACTTTCAGTCACGAGCAGATAATGGCCCCTCGCGAGGAAGAATGGATGGAGGAGAATATTTCTTTCAAGGAGATGTTGATGCGGCATAATGGGGAATGGGAGATGAATGATGCAGAAGAAGAAGAAGCGGCTAGGGAGGCAGAAGATGTGACACAAGAAGATCAGCCTGATTCAAATGAAAACCCCCAATCGGAGGTGTTTTGGGAAATGGACAAGGATGGAAAAATCAACTTCAAGCTATCGAATGAATTCAAGAAGAAGGCTTGGAGGCCATGGAGGAAGTCAGTTTTTGTGAAATTATTGGGAAAGAAGCTAGCTTTGCCAGTTATGAAGAAGAGGCTTGAGAACCTCTGGGCGAGGGAGGGCCAGATATATGTCACAGATGTTGAAAACGGTTTTTTTTTGGTAAGATTTGTGGACCAGAAGCATATGGATTATGCGCTTACTGCAGGGCCATGGGTTCTATTCGATCATTACCTGACGATTAGGTCCTGGGAACTAGATTTTCAGCCTTTCTCTGCTTCGATAGGTAGAATCATGGCGTGCGTAAGGTTACCTGGGTTTCCGGTTGAGTATGTGAATACTGAGCTATTGAGAGAAGTAGGGAATTGGCTGGGTAAATTCATTAAAGTTGATGCAGCCACAACATCTCTTGCTAGAGGAAAGTTTGCTCGAATTTTTGTGGAATTGGATTTGAGCAATCCTCTACAAGCAGAATACAAAATTGATGGCAGGTTAAAGAAGGTAGAATATGAGGGTCTTCATTTAGTGTGCTTTTGTTGTGGGAAATATGGTCATCGATCAGAGAGTTACCCCAATAAGATGTCCCAAGAGATTGTTCTGCTAGAAGAAAAACAGGATAAACAAGGTAATTAGGGAAGTTCTATTCAGATTCCTGAAAGTCAGAAGGAAAAGGAGGAAGAAAAATATGGCCCCTGGATGTTAGTTAATAAAAATAGGAAGTCTAACAGAGGTGGTTCAAAGGAAAAAGATCATCTGTCTACCAGTAAAGAGAATGTTGTTAGCAAGTTAAAACAAGGCTGAAAATGTTAATATATTATGAGGCTTTGGGTATACGACTTAGGTCTGATTGGCTCTAGGCCAAGTGGGAGCTTGTTAGTATTTGGGTGTCCTAGAGACAATCTTATGATTAAATAAGGACATAGATGTAGACCTTTTTAATATTGTCGCAAATAAATAAAAGCACTCTTTATCTTGTTTCATAATTCTGTCTCGATATTAATGTTAATATATTATGAATAACTTGATAAACTCCGTGGAATAAAATAGGTATCTCTTGAGTATCTGTGATGAGATCACAATCATGAGGATTCAAGAATACCGGATGTTTATTCCTAATTTTATGTTCCTAGTCTAGAGATACTGAGAATGAGGTCAGTAATCTCGGGTAAGACTAGCACGACTTATCTACTTGTATATGGATACAAGGTATAGACCTCATGTGCTACAGATATGGAGATGTCTTAGCTAAAGTCGTGGGTGGACCTATACGGGTATAGCTCGCACTGAACAGACCCACAAAAAGACTCTATGAGGAACTCTCACAGAGAGTATCATTAGAGTAGTCTCTTTATATTTGGGTATGTCTTTCCTAAGACCAGAAGTTATTACCTAGACTGTGTTCTAGAAGGCATGCTTTGATTGTGCACCTCGTCTGCCTGAAACATGGAGACTCATAGGTATACTGTTGGGCTTGTCCTGAAAGAACACTGGGCTAGGGTGATAAGCTGAAGGAATTCGTCAAATCTCTGTGAGAGATTAGGTTATCTGTAAACCGGAGAAATCGGGATGACATTTACAGGGACTCGGGAATCTATGCATAGTAAAAGAGATCATGAGATGATCTGCCTTTAGAGTCTGTAAATTGAAGATTCCCTATTTCGAATAAAGCTTACCCTAAACCGCAGGGGTTGATACGCTTCCTTACCCTAGGTTTTATGGGAAGGTAACCGAGACGAAAGGAAATATATACGGCAACCAAATATGTGCAATAGGATGATCAAGTCACTAATCTAACTAGTTCTGGGGCAACGAAGCATTGCTAGTGCTCTGTGTTGTCATTAGATGGGTTGTGGGCTTATTGGGCCCAAGCCCATTTATGTCAGTGGCTATGTTGGACCTAATGGGTCACACACTAACACCTAATTGTCTAGATGCTCTAGCATTAATGGTATTGGGCCTAACAATTGTTATTAGCCCAAGAAGTAGTTTGAAACTCCACAGATAGGGTGGAGGGCGCATGGATCTAATTAATGGGCTTGGATAGTCCAAGACATTACTAATTAATTTAATTAGTTAAATTAATTATCAAATGTTTAAATTTTTAATTTTGAATTTGAATTTTGAAATTTGAATTTTGAATTTGAATTTTGAAATTCGAATTTTGAATTTGAATTTTGAAATTCGAATTTTGAATTTGAAATTTGAAATTTGAAATTTGAAATTTGAATTTTGAAATTTGAAATTTGAATTGAAATTTGAAATTTGAAATTGAATTTAGAATTTGAATTTGAATTTAGAATTTGAATTTGAATTTAAAATTTAAGTGTTTGAAAGTTTGAATTCAAATGTTTGAAATTCGAATTTGAATTGGCTATGAAAAGTTGTTTCATAACAAAAGGATAAGATGAGATCTTGTTGGAACATATCAAGAGGAAATCTTTTGGACATAATCTAAGAAGATTTGGGGTGCTGATTTGGCTGTTGGTTAGTCATCAGAATCAGCTCCAGAAGATACGATATGTTGGGAGAATATTTGAGTGATTTGATTCAAGTTTGAATGCAACTACTCAAATATATCTGGTCATTATTTAGGCTATATGGGGCGCACCATATAACTGATTATATGATGATTTATGATCAGATATTTGATTAGGTTTTGAACCTAATATATCATAAAGATATGACAGGATGTTGTTGGCAAGATTTGATGAGATTTGATTTGCAACAAATCCTATTCTCTCTCTCTTTGATGGAGCGCCCTTTTTGGAAGGAATTTTTATTGATTAAAAATATGATTTGTTTTTAACAAATAGGCTCCTCTTGTGCGCCTCTATATATATGTTCCTTCTAGGGTTTTAGAAAACCAACCAAGCCATTCTCTTCTCCTCTCCTGCGCCACTTTTGTGAAGTTTTCACATTGAAAGCTTCACTCTTTCAAACACTTTTACCTAGCCTTTCTCTTCACACAGTGTGCGCTTAGCAAGCCTCATTGTAGTGATAACTTGGCGGTTTCACAAGAAGGAGTTCTTGCACCTAGACGCAGTGGGTGGTGTGGATCAACGTTAGAGGGTCTGAACCCTTCAGACCTACCTTGATCATCACGAGTTTTCACGAACAAGGTAACATCATGCTTTCCTAAAGCATGATCTTGAATGCATGTGTGTTCCGCAATGAAAAAGTTTTGTTTTTCCCTCCAGCATGCATCGGCCTTCAAGGCCATTTCCAACTTTCAAATCTGTCCCTCTTTAATCGATTAACTTGAATATTTAATCGATTAAATGGTCAAAACATACAAAAATATTTGTTGGAAGATTTAATCGATTAAATCTCCCTATTTAATCGATTAAATCTCCCTATTTAATCGATTAAATCTCCCTATTTAATCGATTAAATCTCCCTATTTAATCGATTAAATCTCCCAACAGGTAACAAAGGAAAACAAGTCAATATAATTTTTTAATCGATTAAATAGGGAGATTTAATCGACTAAATCTCGAGTCAACCATTTAATCGATTAAATTTTCAATTTAATTTATTAAAGAATAGCAGATTAGTGGATAATTTTGAATCAGGGGAAAAATAATTATTAATTAATTAATGAGGAGCAAAAGGGTCAAAAAAATCTCTTATCTGGCTCAAATTTAAATTAATCAACACTATAATCGGATACCAAATGTTTTATGGTTGGTATAAAAAAAAAATTTATTTAATGTTTTATGGTTGATGTTATCGGGCTCAAAATTTTTTAATTAGAAGACTTGAATTTTTTAATTATTTGTAATTTTATATGATTTTATTTTGATATAACTAGTAATTTGTATGGTTAAAATTTTAAGCTTTTCAAAAAATTGAAAATTAATCCAATTCAAATTGAATAAAATTGGATTGAGTTGAATCGGATTTAAAAAAATTCTAACCGAATAAATAATTAAATAATCAAACCAAAAAAATTAAATCAGATAATTTTTAGTTCAAAACCAATCCAATTCATAATAGAAACACCCTTAATTGGTATGGCGTGTAATGTATCGCTAATTGTAAGTATTGATGCTATTCTCTTTATAAATTTAGCTTTAGCCAGCTACCAACTATAAAAGCACTAGCATTTCAAGTGAATAGAAGACAATTAAGAATGGCCGGAAAAGATCACGTAAACAAAGAAAAGCACATAAGTCAATTACTAAGAAATTTTTTCAATTTAACTAATGATTTCGAATTCAAGTTCTGAATATACAAACAACTTGATAAGGAAAACGTTGATACTTTTGTGATCTTATCTGGCTCAAATTTAAAATAATCAACACTATAATCGGATACCAAATGTTTTATGGTTGGTATAAAAAAAAAACAATTTAATTAATGTTTTATGGTTGATGTTATCTGGCTAAAAAAAAAAAGAAAATTTGTATTGATGGCGCAAATATACGTAAAATAAGTTCCAGTAATTTCATGAAAATTTTTAATGGCAGGTGGAGATTTCAAATTTTAAAAATATTCTTTAAGACGTGAATTAAATAAGTAAAAGTCTCACCTATTTACGTCCTCATCAATAATAACAAAAAAATACACGTTTTTCTTTTGTGTAATAAAAAATAGAAAAAATTATTTATCATTTCAAATGACATAATTTATATTATTTTACTCTTATAAAAAGATAAAATTCATAATTTTTTTCTGTGCTCTCTCTCATGATTTATCTTTTTCTCTGACTTAAAATAACATAACTTTATATTCTTTAAAAGTGACACACATTTTTCTCTAAAAATAATATAATCAAGAATTCACTTTTTGGCTCATTAATCAAGGTGTTAAAATGAAAGTGAAAGTATATAAAAGTTGCGATAAATTATCATAATTAGATAATAAAAAGTATACAAATATAAATTAATATTTGTATAATATATAAAATAAATAAATTATCAATATCGTATATATATATATATATAAATTTATTATTTCTCTTCTCACATGATACAAATTTATTTTTAACAATCTTAAAATTACGTCATTTGAAAATTAAGAGAATAAATGAATAGTATTTTGATAAAATTCTTATAATCAAAAGCAACTAAAACTTTGTTTCCAAAAAAAAAAACAACTAAAATTTCTAAAATATTCTTCGTTTATTAGTTTTCTCAATCTCCAAAATAACGTAATTTTGAAATTATTGAAAATAATTCTCAAAAAAACAATTTTCTCGTATAATATTATGGGTTTTGTTATGGACCAAAATTAGGTCCGTGATCAGTAAGGCCCACGATCAGCGCAGGCTCACAGGTAAGCATTATAAATAGGAGCTAAACGCTACAGGTATGACCCAATCTCTTTTTACCTATTTACGCAATCTAGACAGTACACCACACACCTCTTCCAAGGCTAAGGCCATTAGATAATGTGTGATCTGCTGTCCCCAAGATACCTAATTCATAGATATCCAGAGAAGACACCTGAATCATAGATCAATCATCCAATCCCAATTGGACACATCTGCCTAGGGCAGAACAGGTTTAGTATTTGTCATTTTAAATAACATAATTCTGTGACATTTTTAATGAAATTACGTCGTTTTGATGTGTTTGTCATTTTCTCTAATTTATAAAATTAAAAATAAAAAGAAAATGGAAGAGAGAAAA